AAAAAAAATATATTTCATTAGAAGAGATAATTAATGTTTAAATTCTATTAAGACTCTTCTTCTATTACCTGCCTAACTAATGATCCTTGCTTACGCCAGACACTGCCCCTTCCCACATGAGTCTTTATTTTTTTTATCTCTTTAACTATTTAAAGTCTCCGAAATAATGTTGAGAATTCATAATTATGCAATTTTCTCCATTTGTTTGTTTCTCTGTTAAAGATCGGTTCATATATTTTTCTTAAAACTTTCCTCGCAAATACCCCTAGTCTCTGTTCTTTAGTTTTTTTCAATACCAACCTCTCATGACCGTACAGGATAATAGGTCGTAATAATGTCATATACATTCTTATTTTTTAATTTTTAGAAAAATTCCTAAATTTAGTACTTATTTTAATCCGTAGTATCCCTTATTAGCTAGTTGTATTCTAAACGACACGTCTGTCTTAAGTTCAATATCTTGAGTAATAACCAATCCCAGATATTTAAATTGTAATACTTTTCAAAATGTATATTCTTATAACTCAATATGTTGTTCCAGTCTATAATTTCTGTTACTTCGGCTGACAATCGAGTATTCCGTCTTATCATCGTCAACGGTTAATTACACTTACTCCGTAGCATCTATAAGTTTTTTCTTTGACTTTTATTAACATATACACATTAATATGAAATAATATATTTTTTTACAAGTAAAACAAAAAAATTATTAATATTTTTAATAATGCAAAAATGAATACATAAAATCTAATAAAATAAAATTAATAGAATAATATTTTTATGTTTTTGAGAAAATTTTTGAACAAAAACATGTAAATACAATGTTTTTTTCTGTACTTATAGAAGACTAATTTACTAAACGATGAATAGTCATTTAATTTTTCATATTGTTTTTCAAACGTCTAAAGTATGATAAAGTTCACCCTTTGCACTAGATACAGGAACAGTTATTGTTATAATAGCTAGTTTATATTTATTTAAGATATTTTTAAAATCATAGAAGCTCCTACGCAACCTTCAATGCGATTTTCTACAATTTGAATTCTCTAATATTAACCACTTGATATCTTATAAAATTATAATTAAGAAAATTCTATTTTGTATTTTTTATTTTATATACTTCTAGATTTATCAAGTACTAAGTATTTTTTTTATTTATCACTTAAATTTAGTTGATAAATCAAGAATATAAAATAAAAAAATACCAAAAAGATTTTTCTTAATATAATTATTATTTTATAAGAAATCAAGTGGTTAATATTAGAAAACTCAAATTGTAGAAAATCACATTGAAATATCGCAATGGTGACAGAGAAATATATGAACTGCTAATAAATAACATGAACAACATTGTAAATTATAGAAAAAATGTGTTGCTTTCGTGGCTTTAAAAATATTAAAGTTTCAAATTCTTGAGTTAATGTATAGGTATAATACACAAGGGATTACAAATACAGGTAGCTAATTGGTTTTTTATGATATTGCTATCGCAGTCACGGATTGTTTATTATCAATTATGACTATCAATAGATATACTTTTTGTATTGTCAATTAGTGTATTTATAAACTCACAACAATATACCTTACTATCATTGATAATAACAATGCTGTGTACCTACTAATATCGATGTCATAAAAAATCAATTAGCTACCTGTATTTGTATACAAATACAGGTATTTGTAATCCTTTGTGTATTATACCTATATATTAACTCAAAAATTTGAAACTTTAAATGTTTATATCTAATAAACAAATTAAGTTTCATTAAAAATTCAAATGCCATTTACTATTGAATTAAAAACTCAAACATTTTATTAAATTAAAAATATGTGTTACCATTTAAAAAAACAAAGTTGACACCCTTACCAGGAATAAGGGATGAACTTAAAAAGTATTACATAGTTAATAATTCAAGAATAATGTGTAACTAAAGTAAAGATAGTAATAAAAAAAATTTTTTAAATTATTATTATTCTGTAAGTAATTGAGTGGGTTATGATAAAAAAATCACTCTGTATATATATCACTAAATGCTAGACTTTACCAAATCAATAACATTAGATTTATTATAGAAAAACAAAGTATGTTCAATGATCAGGACTATAAACATCCTTCGTTAATGGTGGTGGAGGACTAATAGATAATGACAACATTGACTAAACGTTTTACCATTGTTCGATGCAATTGCTATTGTTATGATAATTTAATTCACGGATAAACACATATCATAAAGGGTGCGATTAGAAAAACCCTCCCTATCATTAACGGAATCACACATCCACTACCCTCTAGGGTTTACAACTCACCGTCATTTAGCGCGATCTTGTGTTTACTTGAAGCATGTGGTTCACAACTATCGTGTTGTTGTTAAGCCACGCTTATGCTCACTAACCCCGTTGCTAATTTTTACTGAATATACAAACACACGCTCGTTAATATTGTGGTATACAATATGACACATTCATACGCAGCATGACATGCACTACTTAAGACATTTTAAAAGGGGAAAATAATACATTATGTATTCTTTCAGTACTTGTATCTTAATCCAATACTTATGTTTTATAATAAATTCGTACTACAAATTACATATATGTGTTTCTATTAGTAAAACGCTTAGTATATTTTTTATTTTATTATTAAAATAAATTTTATTTCGATTCAATAAGATCGTAAACCACTCTGTAATAAACTGAATAGGCGATATGTGGGGTAATTAACCAAGCTGGGGAATTAGGGGTGCGATCAATTGGCTAACATCAAGGTTCTATCGGAGTTCGAGAGCTTAGAACAATAAAGACAAGTAGATATAAAAATAAATGATTAAAGTGTCTCTTTATAGAGGTATTTATGCTGAGGTATCCTTGCAGTGGCCATGGTCTTAGCCTCCTCTCTGACACCGAGCCCGAAGTATATAACCAAGCAAAACTTAGTTGTTATAATTAAATTAAATGATTTATATGTTAAATCAATTTATTGCTTAATTGCTCTTTACTCAGATTATTCTATACAAGTAATATAAAATACAAATTACAAATTTTTCATTGATACACGTAAGATGCGTAATGCAAAACATTGGGCATATTACGACAGTTTGATTTTTATTCATTAAAATTATGGAAACTTTTATATTATAAATAATATAAAAAACTAAAAAAAAATGTTATATTTATAATTTGTTTTTGGTGAAACCTGTTAACGCCCTTTAGAATAATATTTTTAAGGGCGCTAATTGTATTACCTTCCTATCCTAAAAAACATTATACATATGTATATGACAGCATATAGAAATTTTAATTTTTTAGAGAGCTAATTCGTTATTTGAAAGGCTAAGCTCCTTTTTGTTGCACCTATGATAACTTAATTACTCGAAAACTAAAAGTATTATTGAGAAAATTTTTTTATACTTTTTGTAACATATAGTTTAGAACTTAACAAACATTAAAAATGTTTAGGTTCATTTTTTTATGCCATTTTAAGAGTAATAACTTTATTTTTAATGTACAATATATTGGACTTGTTTAAATTTTATAAAATAAACTATTATGAAAATTACTATTTGATAATAACTTTTAAACAAGTATTTCGAAAGTTATTACCATTTAAAAATATAGACTGAGGGTAAAGTATGAGTTATGACTATTTTTATCACTGATTAAATATATAAAATTTGATAACAATCAAAAATATTGTTTTTAGAAATATTTTTGGTTTTATATTTAAAATGTTTTATTGACGTAATGTTTATACATCTAATAAAAATAAAGAAAATAGATAAAGATTTGTTAACTAGAATACATTTTCGTTATTAAAATAATATAATTCTGATTTTTCAGAATTTTTATTATTATTTGACAATATATATTGCAGTAATTATACCTATTACCATAATTAACCGTATTCTTTAAGGATTTTTAGAATTTTTAAATATTTTATGACAAAATTTACTTAAATTATTTAAATGAATGAAAATTAAAAATATGTTTATGCTATTTTATATTTTATATTTAACATGATTTATTTTTTTAATAATTAAAAAAAAAATGTTTTAATTTTTTTAAGTTTACTGCCTACTCTTCATATTTTCTGCCTTATGAATGTCGGTCAAATGGCATGACCACGTGTCGTTCACCATTATTACATTCGTGATCTAAAAACTAATCTTCTTTATGTGAATTTTGATTTCCTCATATAATAATTAATTTCCTACTCATTTGTTTGTATTATTCAATGATTCATAAGTTTTCACTAATACTGTTAATGTTAAGTAAAATGACATGATTATAATACAATTTTTAAGGTTTTACTACACTAGTTTCAAATATGTCTCATATCCACTAATATTTTCGAATTACACTTTACAAAAAATTTTGTTTTATTTAAACTAACAAATAATACATTTTTACTTGTACTACATAATTTATAAATAATATTCAATTGAATTAAATTTGCATACATTATACGCAAATGAAAATCTCCAGTGTAAGAAAATAGAAACGTATTAACCAAAAAATGTTTAAATTTTTTTTTAACTGAATTATTTAGTTTTTTTTTAATTGTTTGTTACAACGATAGAATTCATAATGTAAGAAGTTATACCTTTTAGTTTAAGTATCTCTAAAGTTATATGGTTTAAAAACAAAATTCAACAAAAATAGTTTAATAAATTATTTAAAAAATATTTTTATCTTTTTTGGTTGATAACGTTTCTCTGATCTTACATTGATAAAATAATATCCTTAAAGATTATTTGATGAAATGATTGTTAATAATAAAATATTTAACAAAAAATTTATCCTCTCTACCCAATCTAAAGTTTTAACAGTTTATAATTCATTAATGACTACAGTAAATATGACAATTGATTGAATTAGATTCTGATCTATTAATTATTCATAGCTATTGTGCTATAAATAAAATACTGAATACTTATGTATTTGTTCAATTTATTAATGCAATTTTTATTTATACTACTAACATTGTACCATGGAAATTTAAGGACCACATCCACATGCTCTTTTGGGAAAAACGAGAAGACCTAGAACTGCTTTCACAAGTCAACAACTTTTAGAATTAGAAAAACAATTCAAGCAAAATAAATACCTATCTCGACCAAAAAGATTTGAAGTGGCAACCAATCTAATGTTAACTGAAACTCAGGTATACAGAATAATTATTTATATAGAGTGATTCTAATATTATGAATCACTTCATGTATAAAATATGAACACTATATTAAACAATTTTTTAATTGTTTGTTTACTTGTATATTATTATCACTCATAATAAAATTTCAATATAATTTTATTTTTAGTATAATTAAATGGTTTACACTAGGAAAATTATTTTATATGTTAATATTAATCTTCTTTTTTAATGAATGTATTTATTGATGTATACAATTAAATTTGAAAGATATTCAAATTAATAATTTGCTATGTGTGTCGAGTATGGCAGTAATAATTTTTTTTTTTTAATTTCAGGAGTGCAAACATAAAGAATTAAGATTCTTTATATCATATACTTTATATTTTTACCAATTTTTAAAATAATTTTAATTTGATACACATTAAATTATTAGTATTTTAATAAAATTATAATAATAATAAATTTGTAAATCATATAACCTCACAATAAATTTTTTTAAATACTGTCTTATTTGTTGCACATTACAAATTATACACAAGATGATCAATTAAGGATAAGACGCTCATTTTCTTGGAAACTATTGAAAATTTTTAATTTTTGTAAAGAAAAATATTGTTGTTTCAAAAAACTCTTAAATAATAAATAGTTAAATAATTTTTTTTCATACCTTCAGGGATAATAAAGATAAACTTTGATTCTTTTAAATGAGAACCTGTATTTTACTTTTATTATATAATTGAAAAAACATATAAAAAACAATTAGAGTTATGAAAAAAAGTTATGTTAGAAAATATGACACTTTTAAATTTTAGGTTATGTAAATTAATTATATATTTTCTCTAATGTTATTTCTTAAGGTTAAAATTTGGTTTCAAAACCGACGAATGAAATGGAAACGAAGTAAAAAAGCTCACCAAGAAGCTAAAATTTCAGCAAGAGATGAAAATACATTAGAAAAACGAGGAAATATAAGCCTTCAAGCTTGTGAATCTATAAATCTTGATACATTATTACAGAGTCCAAAAAATGAACATAGTAAGAAATCTAATAATGAGATTACTCTCACTGAAACAGATCATATAATACTATCAACCAGTGCAGCTAACCAAACTCAAACAAATAACAATAATCCTGCTCAATTAAAACTTAATTATCAAAATAATTTAAGATCTCATAACGATCAAGAAGTGAGTTGTGAAGCTTTATATAGGCCTTACGTTTCATAAAACTTAAAATAAATATATACAATATGTAAAAATAATTTTTTTTTTGTTGTTGTTCAAAGTATTATAATATACAATGATATTGGTAATTGACTAAGTTTTTAACTATTAGCTCATTATGTGTAATGAAATTAACGTGAATTATTTTTTTTAATAGTTTATAGAGAGTATGTAAGAATATTCAATATCTAAACATAGTGATTCATTAACCTATAACAAATAAATATTATTAAAATTAACCATAAAATAAGCAAAGTCAAGTAATAAGCAAAATAAATCATGTAAAATTTGGACTTCATACTCATATACTTATAAGATATTAAATTTAAATTATAGTAGAAGGGTTGAATAATTAATTTTGAAACTAATTAATAATATTAATATAATAAATATTGATCATAATATTATTTAAAATTAATAATAAAACAAAATAGTATTCCTCAAATTAAACAATTTTTTTTATGGAACTCTTTTAAATCTAATCCTGATCTTAATAATTATATTAAGAAATTATTTGAAAAAAATTATTCTTTGATATGTTATGAAAATATTAATTATCACCTAATAATAATAACATCAATAAATATCAAAATGCTGATCAGTGTATTTTTTTTTACGTGAAACTATTTTAGACTAAGATTTAAACCTATATTTTTGTTACGTTTGGCTGAAACTAAAATTAAAACTTTTTTATATTGAATGGTGAATTAGTAACAATTATTGTTTACAGAAAATATTAAACGCGATTAATTTAATAATTTAAGTACTTTAAATAAATTAAACGTGTTTGTTAGTATTTTTTATAATTATTAAAAAAACTACATTATCATCAGTTTACTTTTTATCCTTACCAGTGGTGAAAAAATATGGACTGAGAAAAATAATTGATCCATATTCTTTTCCAAATGATATAATGACACAATAATTATAATCAGAATACAAAAATCACTCACTACAACAGTTATAAATAACTTTTCGAGTAGTTCTTCAATAACAATTTTGTCAAGTTTGTAATTTCTTGATACCAGTTGGATTTTTTTTTTATTAGAATTCTAATTTAAAAAATGCTTAACTTAAAAATTTAATATTTTTGTTTATTTATAAAAAATTACCTTCCCATTTTTTCTATATGAATATCAAATTAAAATTTCCAAAGCAAAGATTTATAATGGTAAAATTATTATTAACATCAACTAATAAGACATTTAACAACAGTATCGGATCTTTAGCATAGATTCGTCTAAGGAGGAAGGGCATAAAGGGGCCTAACATCCCAAAAATTGTTCTCTATTTTTGCTTATGATTTTAAGTTGGGTTTGGTTGGGTTTATTAGAACTTCTTTTATTATTGAGATGTATATATTTTTTAATTTACTGTCAGTGTCAAATATTTAAAATGTACTATTAATATAGATTACTTACTTAAAGTTTTTTAATATGTTTAAATTTTGTACTAATCAATTTTTACTTATAACCACAGATGAATTGTTTAAAATAATGAAAACTTAGGTTTTTTAAAATATGTATCTAGTTAATGAATCACTCATTTAATGTGTATATAAATTTTATTTTCAAACATGTAAAAATGCTAAATCAATTTTTAAAGTTATATTGTAATACTTTTGATTTTTATAACAGTAATCTGCATATATTTTTTTGTTTACTTAGTAAAAATAAAACAAAAGTTAACATTAATTCGTTTTTTTTTTTATATGAAATAAATATTTAATATTTAAAATTTCTATTTATATGCTTTAATCATCTGTTTAAAAAAAATTATTTAACTAAAATTAATGAAATTTTAACTACTCTTAATAATGATCATAACCGATATTTAAGAAAGAGGACTATTTGTAATCTTAATGCCTTCATAAATACGTTCTGTTCATCGGTTTTTAATTATTTTGCAAACTAACTTGACCGATTCCACCCATTTATCTTTTATTTTTAACGTCCTTCCTAAAAACCAAACCAAACCCAACCAAATCTACTATATGAAATTAATAAAGTACTTTATGATTGATATGTTGAAAAAAAAACTTACCTAAAAAACCAAAATAATATTCTCAATTTAATTTTTATTTTTTGATTAATAAAAGTGGTTCATGATATATGAATCAGCTTGCATATGTTTTAGTAATAGTCCAAAATTAGTTAATAATCATACTAATTTAAACTAATTTTTGGTTTATACATTTAAAATATTTAAACATAAATGGTATAAAGAGAAAATAATTAATATTTCAACCAGGGACTGCTGAGACCAGACAGAAAAGGACCGATTGGAAACCCAAAAATCTTTACATATGTGTGAACCTAACCTTAATCGAGACCTTAATTTTTAAAAAACCAGACCGCAAACGAACTCAATTAAATGTATGAAATAAAAATAGGTCTTTTAATATTAAATTTAAGGTGTAAAGATATTTTAATAATTTTAATTAACATTTCTTAATTTTAGTATAGAATTTTGTTTTGAGAAATCTGAATTCATAATTGAGGTTAACGTAATAATTGAACTTGATCATTCGTGAACGATCAGGTAATATCAGTAAACACATTTTTTGGCAAATATAACTTTTTTCAAATACGCATCATAGCGTTTTACGACATAATTTTTAATTTCAGACAGATATCATTACGTAGATGTTATTTTAAATTATTTATTTATAAACTTAATTGCTTTACAACTAATATATCAGATTTTGGTCGGGTTTAACTGAGGGACGTATAACTTAGTAAATCATATAAAATGATATTATTATCAATTTTTTATAATGTTTTAAAAATCTATATTTTTTAAACTTACATTAAATTAAAAAAATAATTAAACAATTTAATGAAAGATGAAAAAAACTATTCAAAAACTCTTTTCTATGAGTTATCGATCATTAAAGCCAATAAATGTATAATTTTGTTACATTGTGGATTATTTCGATTATAACCTCTTTAATGTATTATATGATGAAAAAATGAAAAATAGCTTGATCTAAGGTAACATCATTTTTTAAATGAAGTACATCTGAATAATACAATTAAACATTTAATCAAAACTTAAAAAATTTCTAAGATAAATAATCATTTAATTGAAAATGTTATGAAAAACACTAAATTGCTGTCAGCGTTTTTTAATTGAAACCTGAAATTTTTACCAAACTTGCTCAGAAAAATTACAAAAATACCATAGAAATTTATTTGAAATCAATTAGTTTTTGATCGAGTTAAAAGTTTTTTTTTGACACTCGGCACTCCAGGTTGCGAAGTCCGAATTTTTTAAGCTACTTTTCTCTATGAAAACGATTTTTTCGGTTTCGCTTGTATATTTTATTATACTTATACATTATGGTTGTACTAAGTGAAGCCTAGTACTATATAAGACTAATATAATAATTTTATATTATAGTAATTTTAAATTATTATTTTCAACTAATATAATGATTAATTAATATTATATGTTAACATGTAAACTTGATTATACAAAATATGTTTTACAGAACGAATAGTTTTTAATATATATTTATGGATATATTTATATATTTATATTTTATTTGTTTTTATCTCTGTCGTTAAAAAAATATTCACTATAAACACAGTGTACAATAAACACACCTCCTACGTAGTTATTATATACGAGGGAGAGATTGTAGGAGAGCTTTTGCCGCAATTCTAATTAGGTACAGATTAAAGTAATACCAGGGGAGCTATTAGAGATATACAGCTGTTAATTAAAACTGTTTTCGGGTAATTTAAATGCGGGTGAATATAACGAATACAGAGAAACTCCGGTAAAAACTTGTGATTAATAGCCAACAAGAGAGAAATAAAGCTATATCTTACTAGTCGGTCATTTGATGAAAACAGTTATATTGCGTTAATACTTCTCTTCTTACCCTTATGTAAGCTTTAGTATTGTTTATATGAGCTGTACTATTTCATGACATTATTATAATTATATACTATAGAGTCCAATTATTTTACCTATATATTGTTATACGATAAACATTTATAAATATTATATTTCAAATCTTCTAAAACCACAATTGGCCGTGAAAAGTAATTCTGAGGATACGACGTAAAGTACTATACATTTTGAAAATAGCAGCCTTAAATCAAAATGTTAATGTTTGATAAATTTGTTTTACCTCACAACTATTTATTTTATAACAAAGTATTTGAAAGTATATATTTTTTTTTTCAAAAATTTAAAAATACTATTTATTTGGTTTAAGTTAATTCAAATTTAAAAAAAAGGTAACACATTGAGATCGTGGCATAGTTGGGATGTTTTAGAGTTCGGACAAGTATACATCATATCTGACAATATAAAATCACTATCATAAGAATTGCATTGATGCAAATCTGTGGATAGTATATTATTTTATTTTAATAATAAAACCAACCAAATTTAAATGTAAAAATTTATTGTGAACTTTTCTTACTGGGTAACTAAACTCGTCGCTAATGTCTTTGTTTTAATGAACATCGCGCCAGCAGACAACGCAAAGAAACTTACGAGTATATTTTCAGTGTTTAATAAACTTTTACAATATTTTAGTATTTAATTCTGAATTTAAATAGTAAACTGGATTTAAAAAATAACAATATAAAGTTAAGTTCTCGTTACTATGACTTCTCCTAGTAAGGTATTTTAAAATAAAAATGAAAAGTTATACAGATTTATAGTCACTTTAAACTGTTGACTGACTTATAGTTTATAGTTTAAACTTATAGTCAACTTTCGAAAAAAAATTAGGGAGAAATAGTCCCCCTAATCATCCATTTCTTAATATGCTAACGTAGGCTTCACAAATTTCTTAAAAATATATTTAATAAGTTTTTGAAAAACAATTAAATTAATTTTTCAATTTTTACATAAAAATGCTTTTAGCTTCGATGCGAAGCTCAGAAGGTATTGGTTTTACTATGATGCGTTTTTTTTTTTTTTTTT